GGAAGGAGCAATAGCACAGCGAGTACGGTGTTTGCCTTGCATGCGGCCAACATCCTATATAGTCCCCCGAGCACTACCAGGAGTAATTCCTGAGTGAAGAGTCAGGAGTAACCCCTGTGCATCACTAGGTGTGACCCAAAAAGGTAAAAAAAAAAAGTAATCTTAGAGGTTACAAAAACATATAAACAAAGCTCTTATCTGATACGTGGTTAATATTCCAAAACGTAAGGAACACTTATAATTCAAACAGAAAACTGAGAATATGAATAGACCTTCTCAGAAGACATAAGTGATTTTGTGCATACAACATACACATGAGAGATTCATTATAATTTATAAAAACCACAATAAGATACTATCTCATAGCCTCTTAGAATATCTTTTATCAAAAAGACAAGAAGCAAATGTTGTCAGAAATACGGGAAAAAGTGACACATCTGACATAGTGGTAAAGTAAACTGGTGCAGCCACTGTAGAAAAAAGTTGGATACGACTCAAAAATATGTGTTTAAATATCATATTATTCAGAAATTATACTTCTTGGTAGTTTGCGAAAAAATTCAATGCTAATTTGAAAGGATGCGTGCAACATTATGCTCCATTGCAACACTAATCACAATAGCCAAGATACGAAAACAACCTAAGTATCTATTGACAACTGAATATTTTTAACTGGCCTATATCCACATTGTAACACAACTCAGTTTTTTAAAACATGAAATTTTACCACTAATGACAACATGGATAGACCATGAGGGTATAATAATAAGTGCAATAAGTCAGAGAAAGATGAATGCCTTATGATTTCATTCAAGGGAAAGATAAAGAAAATTAATGAACAAACCTATCAAAACAAGGAAAACTCTGTAAGAACAAAAGTACTGCCATAAGAGAAGCTGGTAGCTAAATTGAATAAAAGGGGTCCATTGATGTTAATCCTGTGCTATCTCTCTGGCCCCATCCATTTGGTTTTATAGCTCCTATCTCTGGAATACTTTATCAGATTCCCAAATAAAAAGACCAATTAAAAGAAAAACCTCCCCTTGAACTGACTGCAAGATAACATTTCTAGGAGTTAGTCAATGATGAAGACACAAAGCCATGGGTGGGAGGAGTTCAGTAGATTGGCTCTCAGTAAGATTGGAATACTTTAGCACTAGCAGCAGGTGGTTCTTATGCAAACAGGGTGTTTTCAGTGAAAGATATGAGTGAATAAATATTAGCACATAGATCAAACTGCTGTTCGCAGGGATTGAAAGTTTTCTGGGTTCAAAGAATTTATAAGAGTTCTGATACTTCATATCCTCCATCTTATAAAACTATAAAAAGTGCTGAAAGTCAATTTTAGATCATCTGAATGTCACTGCATTATGGAGCGCTGCCACACATTTTTGTTCATCTTCACAATTCAGTTGGTTCTAACTGATACAAATATATTACATAAAATGGTAATAGTGTCTTAAGTCATTAAAGATAATGTAGGTATTCATTCAGATCTCTATCACACACAAACAGACACACACACACACACACACACACACACACACACACCCTTCTTTGCTGAGCAAGAGCAAAAGGATATGAAAGAAATGGAGAACTAGGACATGACTGCCATTTCTCTTTGGTCTCTGCCTATGCTATCTCTCTATCAGGCAGTGCTCTAACTTTTCCCACTACCTAAAACTCCAATATTTCTTTCATTCTCTCTTTGCAATAGCAAAACATTCATTGCAAATGAAAGATAATCAGTCACAGGTACTTAAAGGAAAATGCTGAGGATAGTATTGTATCCTGCAGTTCCTGCAGTGCACATATGCATACAACAGCATTGAAAAGTCTAAATGAAAGACAAATAACAACAGAGAACTGGTGAACCCTATTGAAGTCAGTTAGGGAAAACAAGTCTATTCTCTAAAGCCCAAACTTTGATCACTTGTGGCAAAAACTAATTACTTTTATTAAAATAAGAGCATTCGTACTAGGCAGCAATGAGAACAGTTTTTGTCGTTGTGAGGATAAATGTCCAATGTATGTATGCTTTGATGATATCAAACCAGGAAATAAGAAAAGAGAAAGCCTCGGCATTAATGAGAGCAAAGACCATACTAATAAGCCCCCCAAACGAAGCCCTCATCAAAATCCTTTAAGAGAAGCAGTAGTTAATTGCCAAGTCACACTGCAATTATGAATAAGCATATACATACACCACATATACAGATATGTAAATGTATCTATAATTTACTATAGGTGGCCAGGATTAATTTAACTAACAGAAAATGCTATATAGTTTACTGAATTTGTATTTTTGGTTTTCCTATATTAATCATTTGTTTTACTTATTGAACTTGAAACTAAAAGAAATTCTTCTGTAGAACTTTTTCCAACTGACTGAGACTTACACATTATCTTTGTGTCCGATACAACAAACAATTTCTTTAAGAAAATACAAAAAAGATACATTTTTGCAAAAGTGAACAACTTCTTAAAACTTTATGAAGAATTGGGTTTAATAATTATCACATTAAAGGCACTTGGCACTGTCTCTGTCCTCCTGTTGTTCATCGATTTGCTCGAGCAGGCCCAGTAACGTCTCCATTGGAGATTTTGTTGTTACTGTGTTTGGCATATTGAATATGTCACGGGGAGCTTGCCAGGCTTTGCCGTGTGGCTTAGATATTCTAGTAGCTTGCCCGGCTCTCCAAGAGGGGCGGAGGAATTGAACTCGGGTCGGCCATGTTGGCCTCTTGCAAGGCAAACACCCTACCCGCTGTGCTATTGCTCCAGCCCGGCACTTGGCACATATTGAGTAAATAAATGAATTATCATCCTATTTGGACCTTTAGTGACCCTTTTAAATTTACACAAATCTTTCGCCCCCTTACACTTCAGTTTTACACTTTACTTGCATTTAAATTTTACCAGTACATTGAAATGAAATTACACACTGAAATGGCCAAGGAGTCTTGAAATGTTCTAAATTTACATGATATTTGAAATTCAGGTATTGGGCATTGTTTCTAAACTGACTTGGAAAATACCTTCATACTGTATATTAATTGAACATTTGATCCATTTAGGTGGGATGCTAAGGCTGATTGGAAGCTTGAAACAGTGGCTTGCTAGAAATGAAGTACAGCTAAAGGCTCAATCTCAGACTGTGTGATGAGGTACTGTACTCAAGCAGACACACAATCCAGTTGTCTTACTGAGAGCTGATGGCATTACTCCCTATGTAAAGGATTGACTTTGTGACAAGCTCTTCTTGAATTGGGTTTCCACCAATGTTGGACACCAAGAAAGGTTCATCTCCTTTTCATGTGTGTCTTGCTTAAAATACTCATTTTGACAATAAGGCTAAAGTCACCCTTGCCTTAAGTTCCACAGAACTCCTAGCATCACAACAAAACCTCATAAAAGCTGTGGTACAGAGCAGTTATGTGATATTTCAGGTACCCAAAGAGTCAAATTGGGTAAAAGGGTGGTGGTTGTGGTATTTCATATCTGGAGATTTAAGAGTCACCTAGAACAGCAATTCTGTCTCTTATAATAGTTCTTAGCGATCATTTTACGGAAATCATTGTCTTTGATTTTTAAAAAAAAATTGTAATTGAATCACTGTGAGATACACAGTTACAAAGTTGTTTATGATTGAGTTTCAGCCATGCAGTTTCGGACACCCATCCCTTCACTAGTGCACATTACCCACCAAGAGTGGTTTCCCTTCAGAGCTCCAGCCCAGTGACCTACTTCTATGGCAGACATTTTTCTTTTTTATCTCTTTATTTTCCTTTTAGGTACTGTTGTTTGCAATACTGGTAATAAAAGGGTGTCGTGCTCATCACTTTTCCTCCTTTCAGAATTTCATTTTTGTGCAGAGTGATCCTTTCCAACTGTCATTGTCATAGTGGTCCCTTCTCTGTCCTAACTGCACTCCCCCTCCTGCTCTGTGGCAAGCTTCCCACTGTGGACCACTCCTTCTGGACCTTGTTTCCACTGTGTTGGGGTATTGTTCACATACCATGTTTTGTTTTGTTTTTAATGCCCTGCGAATGAGTGTGGGACATAAAAAAACTGTTGGTCCTTCTCATTCTGACTGATTTCCTCAGCATAATACTCTCCATGTCCATCCACATAGAAGCAAATTTAATGACTCCACTTTTCCTAATAGCTGCGTAGTGTTCAATTGTATATATGTTCCATACCTTCTTTATCCACTTATCTGTTTTCTGGCACTTGGGTTGTTTCCAAATTTTGGCTATTGTGAATAGTGTTGCAATGAACAGAGCAGATGTTTTTTCTGCATTGTATTTTTGGGCCACTAAGGTATATTCCCAAGAAAAGTATTGCCAGGTTGTGTGGAAGCTCAATTTCAAGGATTTTTTATGTGTACCAGTCTCTGTGGTGTGAGATGATATCTCATTGTTGTTTTGATTTGCATGTCCTTGATAATTACTGATGTAAAAAATTACACTTTTTTTCATGTACCTTTTAGCCATTTGGGTTTCTTCTTGAGGGAGTTTCTATTAATCTCTTTCCCACATTTTTGATATGGCTGTATGTTATTTTCTTGTAAAATTCTTCTGGTACCTTATTTATTTAGACTTTTAAAATGTTTTTTGTGACAATTTCAGAAGAGTATTGATACTTCTGAAATACTATCGCCTAATGTAATCAATATGGTGTCAGTCAAGGAAAACAAGTCTATACTCTGAAGCCCAAACTTTGATCAATAGTTACAAAACAAATTATTTTTATTAGTATAAGAACATTCATAACTGGCAGCAATGAGAACAGTTTGGGTCAGCATGAGAACAAATGACCAACTTACGGTTTAATGATATTGGGCCAGGAAATAAGAAATGAGAATCAATATTTTGATTATTATGAATCAATACTATCATTGAGTGGCTAGAAAGATAATACTGTCATGCCAAGACAAGATCAATCAAAGCTCAGTCAGCAATTAAATTGCTCATTCATAGAAATAACAAATGTCAAACCTTTTCCTTCTTTTCTTCTCTTTGTAACAATTCCTTCTTTTTCCACATTTTCTCTTTTTCTTCTTGCTTCTCTCTTCTTCTGGTAGAAATTTCCATTTCTAGTCTTGCTACTTCTTCCTGGTGGGCTCTCCACTGGAAAACCTGAAACAAACAGAAATTCAATCTAATAACAATGCACACTTATAAAACTTCATACATCAGGAAACAAAGTTCTGTGTCAAGTTGATGTTAGAATTTTTCTAAACTCACACAAAAATTCTGTGAATTATGTGAAATATATGTTCAAGACTTATGTATATATGTTCATACTGTAGTATAGGACAGCGGTAGGGCATTTGCCTTGCACGCAGCCAACATGGCCAACCCGAGTTCGATTCCTCCGCTCCTCTCGGAGAGCCTGGCAAGCTACCGAGAGTATCTCGCCCACACGGCCTGGAAAGCTCCCCGTGACATATTTGATATGCCAAACACAGTAACAACAAAGTCTCCAATGGAGACGTTACTGGGCCCGCTCGAGCAAATCGATGATCAACGGGAGGGCCTTTACTTTACTTACTTTACTGTAGTAAATTACTTTAACATCACCTCATTTGAAGAATCTTCACTTAGATACATAGACAAATCTAAAAAGGAGTCTAAGTTGATTTCCAAGGATTCGTAAATTCTCATAAATAGCATGTAAAAATTTCTGTGTTTTATACTTGGCTTTTCTAGAAAAACTGATAGCTATTAAAAACTCTAAATTGATTCTATGATTTTAAAATGTTTAATAACCACTGATAACTTTATTTTACTGATAACCTTATAAGTGCTGGAGCGATAGCACAGCGGGTAGGGCGTTCGCCTTACAAGCGGCCAACATGGCCGACCCGAGTTCGATTCCTCCGCCCCTCTCGGAGAGCCCGGCAAGCTACCGAGAGTATTCGATATGCCAGACACAGTAACAACAAACCTTATAAGTGATGAGAATAATACTGAATAACGATGACCACAACTCAGGACACTGAAGTTTCTGAGTACTGATGCATCTTATTTTGGTATGAGGATAATCAGTACAGTTTTGCTGAAGAGAATAAGCAGTATTTATATGTATTAAAATGTAAAATATGCATAGTCTTTGGCCACAGCCCCACAGTAGGAACATTATTCAAAAGTGATTGAGCTAAACAAGCACACAAATTATAAACACAGAAATGTTTGCTGTAGCACTGCTAAAATAGAACAAAAATTGGTGAGTCCCTAAGTATTTAGGAAGAGGATATGGCTTAACTCAATGAGAGTAACTTTATCATATGACTGCACTGAAAAAAGTATGCTATATGTCTCCATTGACACTGTGACACTGACATAGAAAATATTCTATAACATATTATTAAATACAAAGTAGCAGTTGCAAAATTACATTTATAAGTATGATCTCATTAATATAAAATATCATCTATGTGTCTACACATAAAGATTTGAAAGGAAGTTTGCCAAAATACTATTGACTATCCATTAACAGCATCATGTCACCAAATTTCATTTATTTATTTATTTAGAGATTTGGGGTTCACGCCCCATGATGTTCCAGTGTACTCAGTGATGCTCCTGGTTCCACACTAAGGAATTACTTCTGGTTCTGCCATAAAATTTTAAATGTGTATTAGTTTTGCTAAGTGGCATGTTTATAATAAACATACACTATTTTGTGAGTAGGAAACCAATGAAATTGACAAAATAAAAACAAAACTTACTGGGTTAGGGATGTCTTAATGATTGAGCTCATGACTGGCATATGTGAGATCTTGGTTTTAATCACCAGAAAAATTAATCACAGCAAACAAAATAAGAAAACACACAGACTTGTTTCATTTTATGTATACATGTAACTATTTCATGTGCACATATAAGGATGCAAAGAGGAAGGAGATGGAGAAGTGCACAGAATTCACTTTAGGAAAGAAATAAAATAGTATTTCTCATACCTCATTATATAGCACTGTTCTGCTGTCATTCATCGATTTGCTCAAGTGGGTACCAGTAAGGTCTCTATTGCGAGACTTGTTGTTACCTTTTTTTGGAATATTCAATATGCCACGGGAAGCTTGCCAGGCTCTGCTGAGCGGGCGGGATACTCTCGGTAGCTTGTCAGGCTCTCGGAGAGGGAAAGAGGAATTGAACCTGGGTTGGCCGCATGTAAGGAAAATGCCCTACTCGCTGTGCTATCGCTTCAGTCCCATACCTCATAACTTACATATTTTATAAAAGGACTCGTTAATGGTAGCAAATAAAGTAAAAAGTACCTAATAAAATATCTTTCAGACACGACAAATTAAAGTGACTAAATATCCTAGTTTTTTTGGACTTTAGGGGGTGGGGGCAACACCTGGCTATGCTCAGGACTTACTCCTAGTTCTAAGCACAGGAATCGCTCCTGACAGGCTCAGGAACCATATGGAGTGCCTGGAATTGAAGTGGAGTTGGCCATGTTCAAGGCCAAGTGCTTTTCACAGTATACTATGTCTCTTGCCCTGCTTTTCACACTTTTTCCCTTTCCTTTTTGCGCCACACATGGCATTGCTCAGTAATTACTCCTGGTGGTGCACGGGGAACCAACCACATGGGGTGCCAGAGATCCAACTTGGGTGGGCTGCATGCGAGGCAAACTCTATACTATATCTCCAGCTCCTCATTTTTCATATTCATAGTTCACTTCCTAAAATACATTATTCCTTATTTGTCAAAATAACATGGACATCAGACCATTGATTTGAAACATCTTTTGGTTTCTCTGCCTGCTGCTTAATCTGATAGTTGGAGTTACCTTCTTTCAAACTAATATTTTTAGATCATCCATGTCTTCTGTGCAGACCCTCTGCTTCCAAACCAGTGCTTCCTGTGTCCTGCCTTCCATCAGAAACATGCTGTATCACAATCAATTGTCCTGTTAAATGTTGCAGTAGTTTTCCTCCTGAATGCCGAAAGGATAACATTCAATTCCTCCTTCCTTAATCTCAAGGTGGTCATCACGATCACGATCACAACCACCCTGTTGTTCGTCGATTGCCTCGAGCAGGTGCCAGTAACGTCTTCTTCGTCCTAGCCCTGAGATTTTTTTTAAAAGTGCCATATTCAAGGTTTTTTCAGGGTTAAAAGAATGAGACCCATCATTGTTACTGGTATTTGGCATATTGGGTATACCACGGGGAGTTTGCCAGACTCTGCCGTGTGGGCAGGTTACATTTGGTAGCCTGCCAGTTTGTCCAAAGTAGGAATGAGATGACAAGCTGTCGCACGGCCGCAAATGCGGCCGCGTGCTTCCAGGAGCTTAATGTGATAATCTCTGGATCCTGGCCATTGTTGGAGTTACATGGCAGTTGGTGGGTGTAACTGTCTAGTTATTGGCAGGTCCAGTCCCAAACCGTGCAGGCTTGGAGATCTCAGCCCCGGGTCCCACACACCTGGGTTCCTCTGCCAGTTCTTTAATGCATGAGGCTCATCCAAGTGTGTGGAGAGTGGTCCCAGCATGGCCTTGGCTGGGCCCCGGAGGTCTTCAGCTGTTGGGCCCTGGTGGAGACAGTCAGGCACAGGGTAGGAGACTCTGCCTTGTTCTCTCCCGGGAGCTGAGTGTGATAATCTCTGGATCCTGGCCATTGTTGGAGTTACATGGCAGTTGGTGGGTGTAACTGTCTAGTTACTGGCAGGTCCAGTCCCAAACTGTGCAGGCTTGGAGATCTCAGCACCGGGTCCCACACACCTGGGTTCCTCTGCCAGTTCTTTTATGCGTGAGGCTCATCCAAGTGTGTGGAGAGTGGTCCCAGCATGGCCTTGGCTGCGCCCCGGAGGTCTTCAGCTGTTGGGCCCTGGTGGAGGTGGTATTTAACCATATTGACTATCTTTAATTTTTTGAATTTTTTAAAAAGCTAAATCATAATATCATTCCTCCCTGTTTTACTATGAATACTATTCTCTTCTTTATTTCTGCTTTGTTGATCCAACCAACAGTTGGATCAACATCAGTGTCACCACCATCCTCTTTTTTTTTAGACCTCTCTCTTTTTGTTCACTATTTGATGAGTCTATTCACTCCCATCATTATACCTATTACTTTTCTATCTAATTCTAAAGTGTACAAATAGTATCAGGGGTCTGGTTTTCTGTCTACAAAAAAAAAATCTGCAGTGCAATCCTACCAAATCTCTAAAATCTTGGCTATTTTTTATGGGTACTCAAAATACGACATTTCCAACACTGAGTTAAGCATCTTTAACTTTGACACAGTTTGACATTTGTGCACTGGCTTATTTTGCCCCCCCCCCCCAACATCCCTCTTTATTCAGTAAAACCAAAAGAATCTCTGTAGCTTGTATTTTTTTCAAGTTCTCCCTTCAAAAAATAAAAATTGAATCACTGTGAGATACACAGATACAAATATTCATGGTAAGGTTTCAGTCATACAATTTTCCAACACCCATCCCTCAACCAGTATATATTTCTCACTACAAATTCTCTCTCTCTCTCTCTCTCTCTCTCTCTCTCTCTCTCTCTCTCGTTTTGGGCTTATAATTTGCTTGTTTTTTGCACATTATTATTATAATACCTACAAACATGACTCTTTGCATTTTTTTTTGCATTTTGGGTCACACCCAGCGATGCACAGGGGTTAATCCTGGCTCTGCACTCAGAATTACTCCTGGTGGTGCTCAGGGGACCATATGGGATGCTGGGAATCGAACCTGGGTCTGCCGCGTGCAAAGCAAAAGCCCTACCAGCTGTGCTATTGGTCCAGCCCCATGACTCTTTACACTTACAAAAGATTTGTGCGATCATAACTTACATGAGATTTTTAAAAATTCACTAGAAATAAATATCTAAACTAGTGAATTTCCTCTAGGCCATTTCACTGTAATTCTCTAATCCACACAAAATCTTTCAACCAAATGCATTTAGAAAAACAGCATATAATTCACAGGGACACTGTCAATTTTTCAGAATAGAACCTAAATTATTTTGCTTTCTTTGACTCCCATGTAATGTCCCACTTTAATCAGGCTAAATGCAGTCTTGAGGTAGATTTTTTTTAAACTCTACTTTACCTCTTATAGACCTACTTGCTCTTATCTGCATAGTCCAAACTCAAATGCCCTCAGTTTTTCCCT